GTGGTTGAACGCTTGAGAGTGAAAGTACATGGTGTATTTCATACATTTTGTGCATTGGCACGTAGAGGTTAACTGAACTATATATATCTCACATTGTCCAGAGCTATATTTACTTTACTACTTGAGCCGAATACTTGAATTGAAAGCATGCCTACTTTTCTATACAGTTTATTCCTGTTTACCGTTGAGGTTAATTAAGTTCGTTACTACCTATCAGTCCATAGGTTGGACTTGTTACTTACTAAGTTGGTATACTCACGTTACCCCCGGCTTGCAGATCCAGGTATCTCTGGACACGGTAGCGGCTGCTGATTATTCTTCTGTTGCTGATAAGTGGAGACAGTAAGGCAGTTGCCCGGCGACCGCATCCCTGCTTTCTTCTTCTCTATCTTCCCCGTAGTTGTATTTTAGATTTTTTTCAGACTATGTTAGTTTTATTGTTATCAGAACAGTTGTAATAGTGGCCCATGACTTAGTGACACCCTGGTGTTTGGGGTTTTACTTTTCACATTTCTATCCTTGAGTTCAACTCTTGTTTTCTTTCATGAAATTCTGCTGAACATGATGTCTTTTGGTATTTCTTTTAATGAATTATCGTAGTATTATGGAAGTCGGATGACCTAGTACTATGGATAGGCGTCATCACGACAGGTTTGAATTTAGGATCGTAACAAATATAAGAGGACAAGGTAATTAGTGCTAGTAGTAACTAACTACTAGTTAAATGAATTGATTTGCCTTTTCTTCGCATGCACTATTAACATAATATGAATTACAATCCTTAAATTCTAAAAACAATATGCTGTTGTTATATGGATCTTAAGACTTGAACCAACTCGAACAAGTATCTTTAGGACGAGACGGTTAAAAATAAAGTATCAAAGGTTTCTCTGAACTTTCCGAATCAAGGTTCAAAAGGATAAGAGTTAAGACGACTCACTAAGACGTAATATTGACACTATTTTGATATGTGAGCAGATGCGGATCCATGATTTGATTACTGTAGGTGCTACTATTTTAATGCGTACATATTCTACCCTTTCCAGATCCTACTTGGAGGAACTCACTGGATTGTTGTTGTTGTTGTAGGGGCCACTATTTTAATGCAAACCGACCACTAATGAAGAAAATTGAACTAGGGTGTACATTCAATCGATTCGATCCGTTTTAGATTAATTCGATTCGATTCGATATGGTTCGGTTCGATCCATTTTGAATTTATTCACTCCAATTTACATAAACGAATATGTGATACGTCCTTCAATCTAAATGTAGCTGATTAATATTATATTATGCCTGATGCATCACTATAAAAATTTTCTGTAATTAATAAAATAATATTAGAAGGATAAAAAAGGAAATAATTAAATTACATCTAAATAAAATTTGAAGATCCAGAAAATGATAAAGGAAGAAAATGTGCAATATAAATAAATAATAAAACTGAAATTATACAAAAAATGAATATCCAGAAAATGATAAAGGAAGAAAATGTGCAATATAAATAAATAATAAAACTGAAATTATACAAAAAATGAATATCCAGAAAATGATAAAGGAAGAAAATGTGCAATATAAATAAATAATAAAACTGAAATTATACAAAAAATGAATATCCAGAAAATGATAAAGGAAGAAAATGTGCAATATAAATAAATAATAAAACTGAAATTATACAAAAAATGAATAACAAAGATGAAGAAAATAACAAAAATTTTAAAAAAAAGGAGCATTAAAAAAAGAAAGCAAAGTGAAAAAGGAAAAAGAGGAACGATGTTGTGCGTGGGAATTCAATAGTTCAACCTAAAGGTGTTAAACGGGTGGGCCGGGCTGCTATTTTTTTGGATCCGTACGGGTTACGGTCCGGGCCGGTTCCGGATTGGTTCTTAACGGGTTTAACGGGTTCGGGTTCATCCAGGTAAAAATTGAACCGTAAGGGTTACGGGTTGAGGGGGTCGGGTCGGGTCGGGTCGGGCCTGGTTTAGTGTATTTTTAATATTTATTTTTTGAAATTTTGTATAACTATTGTAGGTTATATTAGTACAAAGTATTAACATAAATAATACAAGAAAGATGGAAAAAAATGCACTTGTTGCAAGTGCTATATTTATTGCATAATTCAAACTTACAAATTAAAAGATTTACATTTTTAACAACAAGTAAATTCAAAGGTTTTGCATTGCCTTAGTAAGTTCTTCATAATCAATATGAACTGATTGACCTTCTTCTGGAGTGTTAAATTCGGATGGGTTACCATGTGTTAATATATCTCCAAGTTCCTCGTCTTCTGGACTATAAACATCTTCACGTCCTTGATTTCTTCGTTCCGATCTAATCCAATCTCTGAAACATACTAAAACTTCCAAAACATTGCTTCCCAATGAGTGACGGGTGTCTCCAAGTTGTTGTCTTGCTTGGCTAAATGCACTCTCCAATGCAACAGTAGAAATTGGCACATTCAGCACGTCCCGAGCCATAGCGAAAAGAACAGGAAATTGCTTTCCATTCTCATGCCACCATCCCAACGGTGAAAATTCCTTTGTGCGAGGCTCTTTTTGCTTCTGCAAGTAGAATTGAAGTTCATCAATGTTCCTGCTACTGGTTTGAGTGTTAGAAAATGTAGAAAAAATATTAAAACTATCAAGGCCTTCTTCATCATCCACAGTAGCAGAAGTGGTACAGTGCATAGTGGGATTAACATTGCCTACAACACGAGCAACATCATCAATTACATTTGCATAATAATTATATAATTGTTGTAAATAATCATTTAGCTTGTTCATAAAGACATATAAATCTGGGGATTCAGTTGGTCCAATCTCCATATAAGTATATAAAACATTCATTAATTGGTGACAATTAGATATCTTAATAGAAGGATTTAAAACTGCACCAATTAAGTAAATCAGAGGAATTAGAAAGAAATATTTTTTGAATTTTGCTTGCATTTTTTCAACAACATCCTTATATTTTTCTTTCTTCTTAAATTCAGAGAGTAGAAAAGAAATTTCAGCTATATGTACTAAAGCCATAGTAACAGCAGGGTAATATGCTCCAGAAAATTCAACAGTAGATGTATAAAATTTATGTAAAAATTTAACAACATCACTAATGACCTCCCAAGTACTAGTTGTTAACATATGGTTTGGATCAGTACAATGCGCATTAGCAACTTCAGTTATTGAGAATCTATATTTGTAGCAACATTTTA